AACCTTGGCAGAATGTGAAAAACTGCGTTTTTCCTTCTCCACTTCCACAAAACGTGTGCTTTATTTAAAAAACCCTACACAGACGTCTACCTTATACTTATAGAGTTTTCCTAAACCCTAGGTTCATTTAAGTCCAATTCACAATCCTAACCGGCCCATCCAATTAACGTAGAAAACTACGACGGCTATAATATAAAACCCTAATTTATACTGTAATTAAAACCCTAGTTAGATGTATTTACCTAATTACCCTATTCACCATTAAATACTTAACAAATAATCTAATTGAACAAAATAATAATTAGTAAACCCAATTAAACCAAATAAGACACACATAAAATAAGATACACATAGAATAACTAAACCAATTACACTTAAACCATTAATGCCAATTAAATAATTAAAACACTAATAAGTAATTCCAATCAAATAACTAAACCAATTACACTTAAACCATTAATGCCAATTAAATAATTAAAATACTAACAAGTAAATCCAATCAAATAACTAAAAATAAATATCATTTAAATAAATTAAATCACCACAAAAGAAAACAATTAAGCACCTAATAAAAAAAATAATGACACATAATCAAATAAAATGCACTTAAATAATAAATTAAATACCATTAAATACCAGGAATATCCTTTTTAAAATTAGGGGTATTACATAATATGAGGAAACAACATCGTAGCAACCTTAACCGGATAACCAAGATGATTTTGAAGGATAAGACCCCCACATAAACGACGAGATTGATTAAAAGAGGCTTCAAAATTGAGCTTAAAGAAACCATACTTAGGAGCTGTCCATCTTTCCGGCAGCGCAGTGACAGAGGGTGAGGGAAGAATAAAACTCTGGGATTGCCGCATAATCCCTTGATACTCCTGAAAAGCATTGAGAGCAGGAAGGCTAAAGTCGAATGGATCCTACTTCTTACGATTAAACACAGAATCGTTCCTACACTTCCACAAAGTCCAGCAAATAATGGCAGTTAAGCTAATACAATCCGCGGCAACCCTAGAATCAACCCATCTATCATAGAGAGAAACACACCTCGTTAGCCAAAAGGAAAGATAAAACCCACTAAAGTCAATTCGCAGAGGGCAAAGCTGCTACACCAGAATCGCAAAAAGACAAGTACATATTAGATGGTCCATTGTTTCCACACCCCCTTCATAGACGGGGCAACAAGATGATGTTGACGCCCCCCAAAAGGCCAGATGATCATTCACCGAAATGTGTTCATGAAAACTCTGCCACAAAAACAACTAAATCTTCTGATGCGCCCAGACTGCCCCAACACTCCGCTACATAGCACACCTTCCCGCCATAAAGCTACTCCCTTCATCCCCACTGATGGAAAAATGAGAAGAAAGAAGAGAAACAACGACTAAATAGGCATTTTTGACTGAGAAACAGCCGGTCTTGGATGCCCCCCAAATCTTACAGTCCACACCACCTGTGGAGCTGATAGGAATTTGCAGAATGAAATCACAATCGCGCTTATTAAAGGAATGGCAAACCAGATCCGAATTCTACTGGAAAATATCTTGATGAATGAGAGCAGCGATTGAAGAAACTGAAGCCCTATTAGGCGTTGATGTAACTGATGAGTTCTGGATATCGGGAAACCAATTATCTTTCCAACAATTGACACTAGAACTATCACCAATTTGCCACTTCATGCCCCTCCGAATGACTTCCCGAGCGGATAAAACACTCTTCCAAACCCAAGACGCAGAGGAACGATAAGAGGCATCCACAAAAGTGTAATCCTTAAAATATATCTGTTTAAATGACCTGTATAACAGAAACCCATCACCGGATTCCATCCGCTAGGCTAATTTAGCTAGAAGAGCTAAGTTAAAAGCCTCTATATTCTTAAAACCCAAACCTCCTGACTCCTTGGATTGGCAAAGAGTGTCCCAACTAATCCACTTAATTTTGGTCGATTTCTCCATATCGCTCCACCAAAAATTAAGAAAAGAACTAGATAACAACAGACAAGTCTTTTTCGGTAGCTGAAAGTAGTGCATAGAATGCAAAGAGAGGGCTGCCAGAACGTTTTTCACTATAATCTCCTACCCGTTTTGGACAACAAATTACCTTTAAGAGAAAGATCTTCTTTGACACTCTATGGGAAATAAAATTCATGGCTACCACTTTCGATCTCCCCACTACAGATGGAAGCCCCAGATAAGTATTGGACCAGTCAACATTTGGAATGCCGAGAGTGGTCCTACAAAAGTCCTTCTGAAATACTTGAGTATTAGGAGAGAAAAACAGACAAGATTTTTTCAAACTAATGAGTTGGTCTGTGAGAGCTTCATAACGTTACAGAATAGACTTAACGTGCATGTATCACCTCTGGATTATTATCTTTGCAGAAAATAAAAGCATCGTCCGCAAATAAGAAGCAAGAGATTGGTGGACATCTTCTCCCCATGTGAAGCCCATAAGAAGCTTCATTTTTTCATACGCATGGAATAAGTGGGAAAGACCTTCGGAGCAAAACAAGAAAAGAAAAGGAAAAATCGGATTGCCTTGACGAAGACCCCAGAAGGATGAAAAACAAGTTCCTCGCTCCCTATTAATGAGCACCGAGAAAGATACTGAGCTAATACATTCCAACATCAAAGAAACCCAGCGCCCATCAAAACCCAAATGAGTCATAAACTTGCATAAGAAAGACCAACTCACTCGATCATAAGCCTTAGCCATATCTAACTTCAAAGCAAGAAAACAAGAATCACCATTCTTTTTCCTTTTCAGAACATACAAAAGATCATGGGCAATGATGATATTATCTTTAATCAGACGATTAAGAACAAAACGCTCTGAGAGTCTGATTATGAGAGGAAGATATGCCTTCAGCCGGTTAGCTAAATCCTTGGAAAAAATTTTATACGACATGATGCAAAGGGAGATAGGGCGAAAGTTAGACATAACTGTAGGGTAAAACACCTTAGGGATGAGAATAATATTAGTAGAGTTCATACTCCTCGGAAGAAGACCGCCTTGGAGAAAAGAATTGAAGCCCTTGAGAAGATCTATCTTAAACATCTCCCAGTTAGATTGAAAAAACAAAGGGGTAAAACCATCTGGACCCGGGGCCTTATACAACCCCATACACACCAAAGCTTCTCGAAGCTCCACAACCGTACCCTTTTGAAGTAAAACTCTATTCATCTCCGGAGACATACAAGGTTGGATAGAACTCCAAAACTCAGAATCCTCCTGATCCGGCATTGAGGAGAAAAGATTAAGAAAATAGTCTTCAGCCACCCTGTGGATATCGTTTTTAGAATCGTGTGCATCCTCCAAACACAAGATCTCATTTTTTCGATGACGTATTTTTGCTTTTCTATTGAAAAATTTGGTGTTATGATAGCCATGATTTAACCAAGCAACCCTGGATTTTTGTAACCAGAAGAACTCTTCGTCATGCCAAGCCTGACCAAGCTCAAGTTCCAGCTGAGAGCAAACAACTGGATCATACCCCTCCATATCCTCTTTGAGAGTCTTCAACCGATCGATCTTCCAAAATTCGAATCCGAACCTGGGAATCATCTTGAATCCTCCGTCTCCAGCATTGATGATCCACTTGACATTTCGAGAGCTTATGTTGGATGACCTACAAAGGAGAACCCGGGTGTGGGAGTGACCATGCCTGAGCCATAATAGGTTTAAACGAGTCATTCTTCACCCATCTGGTATCAAATTGGAAATTCCTTTTCAGATGAGATAAGGAATTATTCAAACATAGCAAGAGGGCATTGTGGTCGGACCCCTAAACAGTAAGATTATGAAACATACTTCGGGGAAAGAAATTGAGCCATTGGGCTGAACAAAGAGCCCGATCAAGCTGAGATTACAGTCCTTTATAAAGAGCTTAAAATCTTTCAACATCCAACCTTACTTGATTCGCCCGCCGCGCTTCTCTTCCTTGTGAATAAGAGGATTAAAATCACCTATTAAAATCTATTTCGGCCCTAACTGAAATTTAAGACTATGAATATATCTCCGTTGATGGAGCTGCTCTGTCTCCGAACACGACCCATATACCCTAGTAAAATACCACAGAGATGCACCCTTGCCACCAATAACTTCACATGTAATATGAAAATATGAGAAATCAATAATTTTAATATGCCAATCTTTGGAGAATAGGAGAGCTAAACCCCCGGCCCGCTTTGCCCGTGGAAGAAAATCATGTATCTTGAGAAGAAAGAAAGAAAAAAGGAAAAGAAAAAAAAGAGACAAACTACTCTACGGTGAGATGATTAACTGATATGTCCACAGAGAAATATTGAAGATTGGTAGGATGAGAGGGGGATTGACACTTTAACTGGTGAAAGCCCCTTTTCTTCTTAAAGTAAATTGTGAAAAAATTACAAATATATGGAGTTTTGGAGTGCAACTTATAAATAAATGGAGTGTCCACGAATTTTCAGAAAAATAGTTTGGTTTTTTATTTTATTATTATTATTATTATTATTATTATTATTATTATTTTCTGAAAGTTTGATGCTCACGTTAGAAATACACTCACTACCCTTATTAGTTCCATTCAATTACGACTCTTGTGCATATGTACACTTTACTGCATGGAGGAAACACTTCTTTTTGTACTGGGGCAAATTATTTTTTTAAAGAAAGTTAAAAAAAAAACCATTATTAAATTAAAATAGGACTATCTGATTCGATTTTGACAACTATATATACGTAGGGCCGGTCGGCCTATAGAAGAAACGTAATGGCATACATTCCTCTGCCTGTTGATTAGGAGAGTATACGGTAGGTTCATTGGCTTAATTCTTGTTTAGGGTTGGGCCAGGGTGGTTTTTTATTTTTATTTTTTAGAATGGTGGTTGGGCCAGGGTTGTTGTCCCTCTTTCTAATGGTGTCTGTGACTAATTTCTCCATTTGGGTAGCTTGTACAATTTGAATTTTCTTTTAATTTTTTTAACATTAAATAAATAATTAAAAAAATGATATTTACTAATGGAAAAGAAGAATTTTATTCCATGGTTGAGGGAAAGATAAAAATTTGTATAGCATGGTAGAAGCAAAACAAATTTTTATTATAGACTATATATGTAGAGGTTGAATCCATGAATCATCCAACATTTCTTGTCTAGGCACCAATCTGAACCCAGATACCGCTACTGGGCAAGCCACGATGAACAGCCCAGAGAATATAATACCCAGGAGGAGCAATTTTGCCGGAAGGAGGTGCCACAGCTTGAATGTTAGCATCTGTTATTTTGAGTGTATTCAGAACAATCATTCTTTGGTTCATGGAGTAGCCATGGGTGGTGAATGGCGGTGCATACAAGACTACCTTGACATTGGTCTGGCTGATTCCGATCTCGGGGACCAGCTTAACTTTAATCCTGAATTGTTGTCCGTACTTCAATATTTTCTCGGTACCACCCTCATGTACTGAGGGTCTGTATTGGCGGAGATTGGATTCCAAGTAAGGTGGCCAGAATTTCTCCACAATGGTTTCGGTCTTAAACCTCACGTCCTCGGTGAAGGTGTAAGTAGGGTTTGTGTTACTGCCTGCAACCAAAACTTTTCCATCCGGAATCAATGTGGAGGACGAATGGTACATACGAGGAATGTAACCAGGTTCTAGTTCCTTGAACCTTTCGCCCAGTTTTTTGTAGGGGGAATATAGGACTGGCACCATATTGGGTTCGTCGGCATTTTGCCAACCGGAGACGCCTTTCTTGGCACCGCTGAGGATCAGAACATCTAAGTTTGGAAGATGGATCATGTCACCCATGACTCTTTCTGAAGGCATCTGGTCTATCTCCCATTTGGCGTCGGGTCTGGTGATGGTCATGCGTCCACAGTCTTTCAATGCAGGCAAGAAGATTTTCTCCCTGTCAGCCTTTCCCCATCCCGCGGGATCTCCACCACCACAAATCAACACCTCAGCATCAACATTGGGGCCGCCTTTGCGGAGGTCTACAGGGAGAAGAACGGACATTCCTGATGCAGGGTAGTTCCGAGAGCCACCGGGCAAGACTGGGTACTCGCGGAGGACTTTACCGGTGTTGGGCTCCAGAAGGATGGAACGGCTGTTGGCGAAGATGTAGACGTTGCCATCGGGGACTAGGTAAACAAATGGGTATAGATTGTTCTCTGATCCAAAGTCATTGGTTTCCCGGAGTAATGGAAGGTCAAATTGTCTGGTTTGGAAATTCATTTCAACGGCTGGCACAAATTCATAGTTGAAAGTGTCGCGACCACCAACAATGATAAAGTTACCATCTTCCATTATTACCTGAGTAGCGTACCTGCATACAATTAAATAAATAAATATTTTAAGCTAGCTAGAATGTTGATCATTGGTCTAGCATATATAAATAAATAAATTAATTAATTAATATACCATCTATTGCTGGCAAGCGCTCCTGGTTTTTCTTCAAAGTCACAGGTAGGGCATGTACCCATGTGTCTAACAGCTCGATAACCTTCTTCCCAACCGCCGGTGCTTACTAAGTAACCCTTAGGCGAAAGCCCTCCACAAGAGCACCATTGATCCGTTAAAACCTGTAAAGGAATTAAAGTATATATATATATATAGCTGGATCAATTAACTTGATATATATATATATATATAAATAGATAGCAGTTAATTACGTATACTTACCTTTAATGGCCTAGATTGTGCGGTGTCAATGTCATATTCTACTGCATGAGCCCAACAGTCGGTTGAATTTATTGGGGGATGCTGTTTGTCGACGGCCCTCTGTACGACTTCGCGACAGTTGGCAGGATGAGGTTTAGGCAACTCGATTTTGGATGGGCCGAAGGAAGTGGTGTCGGACATAATAGCCTTGTTGTTTGGAAGCAATTGGAGTTGCATGGCCGAGACAAACGCATCAGCATGTACCTTCCAATCACCTTTGAACTTTGTCTCGAAGTCCCTTTCCATGATGGCCGCGTTCGCAGCAGTAGTAGTTTGTTGGTTAATCTCTTTCTGCGTAGCTTCCTCTTCCTGTTGTGTAGGTGGTGGTTTGTTTGGTATTACAGTCTTAAATGGTTTGAAGTTTTTGTCGGGTGTCAAACCAGCATATGGGTTAGTTACGTCTGGATCCTTTTGACTTGGTTTGTAGCCAGCGGGTTTAGCTGTGTTCGAAACCACAATCACTGTATGTGGTTTATTCACTGCGCCTGGGTTCTGCTGAATCACCACCACATTGTTATCTTGTTTATTACCACCGGTCACCGCCGCTGGTCGTTTCTCTTGTTTCTGTTTGTTGCCGTTCACGACAACAGTGGCACTCTTAAGGAGTGATTTTGCTTGACGTTGACGATCACGAACCACCCCCACAACCTTATGTTCTTTTTTCTTGCCTCCTCCAGGTTTGTGTGCTGAGCCATGAAGAAATAAGAGAGGAGCAACAAAGAGAACAAGAAAGAGCGCTCTGTGCAAGACCGCCATGAATCTTATTACTTATTTCTTCTTCCTGGTGGCTCTTACAAGAGACACTCCCTGATTTTCCCCTCTCACTTTACATCTATTTATACTTGCAATAATGCTTAAATAAAGTAAATACACATATATGGATCTCCACAATATTTGCCAAAAGAATAGTACGTCACAAGTAATGTAGGGTGTACGTGTAAGCAACTAAAATTAGCATGAGATATGAGAGATTAATAGGACAGTTGTAGCTGCATGTTTTGACTTTTCTGTTTCATTCTCTAAAAAAGCTGCAACAATTTCTACCGAAGATGATTCAAATACTTGAAAAAATAAAGTAAAAAAAGTTTCTTAAGTATCAGATTTATTAATGTTCCAATAGTCTTTGGAAAATATTCATGATTTATTAATTTCCCTTGGGGAAAATTTAATTATGTAGTAAATGAATTTTCACATTTGAGAATTCTTTAAATGCTTTGGCCTTGTGTGAAAGTGCTATATCTCTCTTAACATTTTATTTTAATTAAAAATTACTTTTTAGGTGATATATATATATATATATATATATATAATTGGGATTTTTATATATAAATGTACTTATAAGCCTATATTTATAGTATTATGTAGCCAAAGTTCTATTGTTTTAAACAAAAATAATTGACCAAATTAATGACGTGACACGAGCTTTCATTGTTTACTATATAATTTGTTGTCCAAAATAATTTCTTACTGTCTGGACCAAATTAAAATTGCTGCCCCATATCATTAATTCACCCGAACAAAGCCCATTATTTTTTTTTAGGGCAATTCTGTTCATCGCCGCTTCTCTCTTCCATTGCTGATCAAATCGGATCGACTGAAACAGGATATGCTATGGGTGTAGCTGGTTCTACCTCAACAAGTGGATCTGCAATTGGATCTTCAACCGCCTTTGCTTCAATTTGTGATGAAACTGTGATCGACTAGTTCTGGATCTAGACTCTGCCTCTTCAACCTGTGCCCAGATGCTACTTACCGACCTAGCTTACCCCGCTTCTAATGATGGGTGATCAACGGCCCATGCCTTTACAGGTGCTATCTAGGCTTCTATGGGATATGATGAACTCATTTGTGAACTTGACCAGATGTTCGACTTCGAAGGAACTTTGATTGATGGGAGCAGTGGTTGGCATGTGACATATACAGATGGTGAAGTGAACATAATGCTGAATGGAAATTACCCGTGGCTGTTAGTACAAAATCCCTTATAGCTGATTGAAATTATCATCTATTAGACGACGGTGGAATTGGTAGGCGTTGAGAAAGAGACATTGATACGACGAGCTTTGAGCCTGTAGTTTTGTTTTTTGTAAATTACCCGTGGCTGTTAGTACAAATTCTTATTTATATACAACTGTACACGTTTGATAAAATAATGTTTAAGACTGTTTTGCATGCTATTTACATGATATCGATGAGATGTACTACATAAATTTTCCTCTAAAAACTTTCTTGATAGATTATATTTAAGTATGGTATTGTACTAATGAATTCAAGGCTGGAAGTTTTAATCAGAAATACATCATTAAATCTAATGACTTATAACGGTGATGAAATTATGAGCTAAGAAATGTTGGTGCTGAATGAATTGAATTAGAAAGTATAAAGACTCCAGAGTCCGGACCTTTATAATAAGGGGCTCAAATCCCCTGCTGTGAGTTACCCTGCAGTCCCCTGCTGTAAGCTGATGAAAGGCCTTAGTTTGGCCACGTGTGCTTCAGTTTGTAATATATCTGTGGGCTCCACTAAAATGGTACAAAATGCATTATTCCGTTAAATCTGCCTTCCGTTAAACATCCATCTCTCGGCATCTCTGAAAAAGTCCAAAAGAGCCGGCTCTACAAATTAATTGAGCCGTCTCCAAAAAATTGGGTTGAGCCGTCTCCACATTTCTTCTTGAGCCGGCTGTCCATTATTATTTTTTTTCTTTTATTTTTATTTTTTTTTTGCTTGGCAAGGAGCCGGCTCTAAAAATTCTGAGAGCCGGCTCCATATTTATTATGAGCCGGCTGCCAACTCAAAGAGCCGGCTCAACAACTTAGAGCCGGCTCCATTGAACTTCAAGAGCCGGCTCCATTAAATCCCAAGAGCTGTTAAATTTAGGTGTGAAATTAGTTTGGCAAATGTGTGAAATTAGTTTGTTAGAACTGTGTGAATAGCATATTTTAATGGTGAAGGTGATCAGTATCCCTACTTATTAAACTTTACAATGTATTTTTTCTCATAAATATGACATAATAACATGTGAAATGTGTAATTGCCGCATACATGAGAAGACAAAATATTTGGATAACACATTGGTATCTAATGAAGCCAACTCAGTTAAAAAAAAAACAATTATGGAAGATTTTACATTCACTAGAATGGTTATTGAAGATTATAGAAGAAAATCTTACAATTAACCAAGATTTCAAATACGCTAGAATGCTTAATTAATGTCAATTTCAAGTAAAAAAAATCATAATTTATACTAACGGATGACAAATGAAAGAATTAAAAAATGTTAAATTTAGGTGTGAAATTAGTTTTGCAGAGGTGTGAAATTAGTTTTACAGAACTGTGTGAATAGCTTATTTTGATGGTGAAGGTGATCAGTGTCCCTACTTATTAAGCTTCACAATGTATTTTTTCTCATAAATGTGACATAATAACCTGTAAAATGTGTAATTGCCGCATACATGAGAAGACAAAATATTTGGATAATACATTGGTATCTAATGAAGCCAACTCGGTTAAAAAAAAAAACAATTATGGAAGATTTTACATTCACTAGAATGGTTATTGAAGATTATAGAAGAAAATCCTATAATTATCCAAGATTTCAAATACGCTAGAATGCTTAACCAATGCCAATTTCAATTAAAAAGAATCATAATTTACACTAACGGATGACAAATGAAAGAATTAAAAAATGTTAAATTTAGGTGTGAAATTAGTTTTGCAGAGGTGTGAAATTAGTTTTACAGAACTGTGTGAATAGCTTATTTTGATGGTGAAGGTGATCAGTGTCCCTACTTATTAAACTTCACAATGTATTTTTTCTCATAAATGTAACATAATAACCTGTAAAATGTGTAATTGCCGCATACATGAGAAGACAAAATATTTGGATAACACATTGGTATCTAATGAAGCCAACTCAGTTAAAAAATAATAATTATGGAAGATTTTACATTCACTACAATGGTTATTGAAGATTATAGAAGAAAATCCTACAATTAACCAAGATTTCAAATACGCTAGAATGCTTAACTAATGTCAATTTTAAGAAAAAAAAATTTATAATTTACACTAACGGATGACAAATGAAAGAATTAAAAAATGTTAAATTTAGGTGTGAAATTAGTTTTGCAGAGTTGTGTAAATAATTTATTTTGATGGTGAAGTTGATCAGTGTCCCTACTTGTTAAACTTCACAATGTATTTTTTCTCAGAAATGTAACATAATAACCTGTGAAATGTGTAATTGCCGCATACATGAGAAGACAAAATATTTGGATAACACATTGGTACCTAATGAAGCCAACTCAGTTAAAAAAAAAAACAATTATGCAAGATTTTACATTCACTAGAATGGTTATTGAAGATTATAGAAGAAAATCCTACAATTATCGAAGATTTTAAATACGCTAGAATGCTTAACCAATGTCAATTTCAAGTAAAAAAAAAAAATCATAATTTACACTAACAGATGACAAATGAAAGAATTAAAAAATGTTAAATTTAGGTGTGAAATTAGTTTTGCAGAGGTGTGAAATTAGTTTTACAGAACTGTGTGAATAACTTATTTTGATGGTGAAGGTGATCAGTGTCCTTACTTATTAAACTTCACAATGTTTTTTTCCTCATAAATATCACATAATAACCTGTGAAATGCGTAATTGCCGCATACATGAGAAGACAAAATATTTGGATAACATATTGGTACCTAATGAAGCCAACTCAGTTAAAAAAAATTAATTATGGAAGATTTTACATTCACTAGAATGGTTATTGAAAATTATAGAAGAAAATCCTACAATTATCCAATATTTCAAATACACTATAATGCTTAACCAATGTCAATTTCAAGTAAATAAATATTATAATTTACACTAACGGATGACAAATGAATAATTAAAAAATGTTAAATTTAGGTGTGAAATTAGTTTTACAAAGGTGTGAAATTAGTTTTGTAGAACTGTGTGAATAGCTTATTTTGATGATGAAGGTGATCAGTGTCCCTACTTATTAAACTTCACAATGTATTTTTTCTCAGAAATGTGACATAATAACCTGTGAAATGTGTAATTGCCGCATATATGAGAAGACAAAATATTTGAATAACACATTGGTACGTAATGAAGCCAACTCAGTTAAAAAAAAAAAACAATTACGGAAGATTTTACATTCACTAGAATGGTTATTGAATATTATTGAAGAAAATCTTACAATTACGCTAGATTTCAAATACGCTAGAATGTTTAACCAATGTCAATTTCAAGTAAAAAAAAAATCATAATTTACACTAACAGATGACAAATGAAAGAATTAAAAAATGTTAAATTTAGGTGTGATATTAGTTTTGCAGAGGTGTGAAATTAGTTTAGTAGAACTGTGTAAATAACTTATTTTGATGGTGAAGGTAATCAGTGTCCCTACTTATTAAACTTCACAATGTATTTTTTCTCATAAATGTCACATAATAACCTGTGAAATGTGTAATTGCCGCATACATGAGAAGAAAAAATATTTGGATAACAAATTGGTAACTATTGAAGCCAACTCAGTTAAAAAAAACAATTATGTAAGATTTTACATTCACTAGAATGGTTATTGAAGATTATAGAAAAAAAAATCCTACAATTATCCAACATTTCAAATATGCTAGAATGCTTAATCAATGTCAATTTCAAGTAGAAAAATATCATAATTTACACTAACAGATGACAAATGAAAGAATTAAAAAATGTTAAATTTAGGTGTCAAATTAGTTTTACAGAGGTGTGAAATTAGTTTTACAGAACTGTGTCAATAGCTTATTTTGATGGTGAAGTTGATCAGAGTTCCTGTGATCAGAATTTTTAGAGCCGGCTCCTTGCTAAGCAAAAAAAATAAATAAAATAAAAGAAAAAAAAAATAATGGACAGCCGGCTTAAGAAGAAATGTGGAGACGACTCAACCCAATTTTTTGGAGACGGCTCAATTAATTTGTAGAGCCGGCTCTTTTAGGCTTTTTCAGAGATGCCGAGAGATGGATGTTTAACAGAAGGCAGACTTAACGGAATAATGCGTTTTGCACCATTTTAGTGGAGCCTATAGACATATTACAAACTGAAGCACACGTGGCCAAACTAAGGCCTTTCATCAGCTCACAGCAGGGGACTGCAGGGTAACTCACAGCAGAGGATTTGAGCCCTATAATAAGAGAAATGATACAACTTCCTATTTAATCCGCCGATAAACCCTCCGAACATAACTTGGCCTAGCCACGTCAGACCCAAGAAAAACACAGCTCTCTTCTCTCTCCATGATTCCCTCTTTCTCTCTATCTAGTTCTACTATCGTTCTTCAGTCCTTAATTTCTCTCTTTCTTCTCTCTTCTCGGGCCATCAGCAGCGGCGATAACTAGCTTCTCTATCGACTTCTTCTAGATGGAGCTCCGATCTGGCGACAGCTTGGCCCGTGAAGTCGACGACAAAGGCAAAGGAGATCACTCGGGACCGACGTTGTGGTCTTGGGGTTTAAAGCTTCGGATCAGGCAAAATTGGGTTGGATTTTATGTGCGGTGTTTTTGCCGCTGCCACCACTTCACCACCGGGCATAATATCCTCAGCTGACGAGGCCGCCGTCATAACCAAGCTCGTCACCAGCCTCTCCCCAGCCCCATCCGACTGGACCGGCGCCGACAAATTCGCCAGCTCTGTAAGTTATCTTCGCTCCCTCCTTTTAACTCTCCTTCGACCAATGGGCCTCTCTCCGAAATTCGATTCCGATGAGGTCGACGAGGGGCTATTGGGCGCCGTGGGCTCAGGATTATCCAGTCTAATCTTGCTGGCCGAGCAGCTCAATTTGGACTGGGTTTTCTCCTACCGGTACGGCGAAGATGGTACGACGGCCGGCTCTGATTGCGTGGTGTGCTTGTTCGGTTTGAGAGACAGTGACCAGATGCGCAAGTTAGCGTGCCGCCACATCTTCCACAAGGATTGCTTTGAAGGATGGCTCGATCACCTCAACTTCAATTGTCCTCTCTGGTTTCAGAGGAATGCGTGGCTCTCACCGACCGGCGCATGAATAGGGACCTTGTCACGTGGTTCTCTTTGCGGTGAATGGGGGTCATGGGTATGTATGTATGCATCATATGATGATGTTGATAGTGAATGATCATATGCTCTCCGTTGCCGTCGCTCCATCTAAGCCACCGCAAGTCAGCCGACATCTCCACCGCTTAGTTCTCAACCGCCGTAGTCCTCTCTGCAGCAGTCCCTTGGCCTCTGTGATTTGTCTGAAGATTGCATTTAGAGAGAGAATAACGGGGAGAGGGGGGAATTGTGGAGAGGGAATGAAAAGATTGAGCGGTGTTCTATTTATTTATTTATTTATTGTGACTGACTGGGCAAAGCCACGCTGGGTTCGGAGGATAAATTCGCGGATTAGGTCGGAAGTTGCATCATTTCGGCGGAATAGGTCGGAAGTTGTATCATTTCTCTTATAATAATTTAACCAATTGGGTAAGTTGTAGTATAATAAAGAGGAAACTGTACAATTAGTGTCACACCCCAAATTTTAATACAAAAACTATTTGTTCTGCATATAGAATTTAAGGCATAACTTCCACTCATTCTCAACATACATCCACCATAAATAGTATTCCGGTGAATCTCATCATATAATTTAATAATATGAGAGTCTGACAAATTCATAATGAATAGAGGTGAAATTTCCTCTAACATAAGAAAACATCGATGACCACTAAATCAACTAAACCAAAGTCACACAAAACGCCAACTTTATTACAATGATCATAATAAAGGAAAACTGAGTAAAAATAAATAAATATGCAATGAGCTAAAATCCGTCCCTGTCATATGTCTCCACCACGTTTCTACCCTACGAGTACCTGAAATATGATAATGGGGTGAGCTCATAAGCTCAGCAAGAAATGCTAAACACAATCATCGTTAGCAAACTAACCTTACCTTGTATTCCCATATATATATAAGCAACTCAATAAATGCATTAATTAAATATCCATATTCCAGTTAATTATAAACTCAATAAATAACCATCATTTATTTTTAATAAATCTGCATATCTCATATGAGCACCGGACTCCTATCCAATAAAGTGGTGTGAATCGTATAGTCCCTGACTACCGAAAACAGACGTGTGGCTGGATTGTACGTCTACTCCCCAGATGATCCCTGATCACGTCCACACAATAAAGGCTCATTAGACCCATGGCCATAATAATAGGGTAATGCACTTCCAATTAGGTAGGTCCCTGACCATACCCAAAAGTCATCATAGGGTCAGTCTTTGACTACCCATTCGACTAATCCAAACTCATCGACTAATCCAAACTCATCCATTAATTGTTAATTATGTTGAATTATGAAATACATTATTAATTTAATTAATAATTAATACACCCAAATACAATTTTAATTTAAAAATAGAACTCTAAAGACCCAACCAGTGAGAGTACAAAATTTCTAGATAAAGTCTAACATTAAATAAAAGACCCAGCAAAATTTCAGAATTTAACTCCTAATAGTTTTTCGTACTCTCCCTTTTAGTGTTAAGAAAATAATATTTTTTTCTTTTTTTTTTCAGGGTTTAATTCGGTAAACCTACCCAAATATCATTTAAAATTTTGAATTTAACCAAATTAGGTTCTATATACAAAAATATAATATTCTGAAAGTTTCATGATTTTTTTGAAGCATTAATAATTTTTATATTTCTTATTCATCATTCAATCAAATAATAACTAACAAAAAAATAAATATTAAGTATATTATTTTGTGATGCTGGCCCACCACTACTCACCATTAATGCCTGAGAATCACACGTCCCTCCCAATATGGTTCTAAAGTACCAATGAGAAACTAATTTCAATGGGTATATATTTATATACTCATAAAACTTCCTTTTCCAATTTAATTCCATATATATATAAATTGTACTCACATGCTAATCTGCTAATCCACTAAATCATGTATATACCATTCTAAGTTCAAGTTGACCCAAAAATCCATATTACAACTTATTAAATTCATGGAAGCTTAATATAATTAATTCAAGATTTTCAGCTCTTATTTGCCATGACCTCAAATCCTAATTCACCTTTATCCATTATGTATTCATATAACAGTATGAATCGAGAACATCAATTATTAATTCACACAATCATTATAAAATTCCCAAATATATATATTTATATAACAACACGTTAAAATAGTTTCACATAATAATATATACCAATCAATTACCCACTTACCTCCCTTACATATATATATACACATGCATGTCCTACGTAACTACCATGACCCATAATGATCGTCACAACACTACAACCAATTAGATTCCATAATTCCACATAAACATATCATATATATGTCTAGGTTCTAATTACACAAGGAATGAAAATTCATACTGTTAACCATACATATTGATAAAATTATTCTTATTTATCATCACGAGGCTATAAATATTTTTTCTATATATTTAATAGGCAAAGTTATAAATATATACAAGTATACAAAGCAATATTAACTTGCCTGATAAATATCGTTAAACCTTCCTCTCTAGCCGATCCTTTGGTCACTGTCTCTTTTTCCGGCTACTGCAGATCGACAACGTAATGCCAGTAACCCGCTTCCTCTCTTTCTCTCCCTCGTTTTATTTTATGAAATAAAATATTAACACTTATATAAAGATAAGAATATTGGTAGGTGAGCTAATTTAGGATCTCCTTTAAAAAAAATTCAACTTTTAAAAAGGTAACCTATTATCTCTATTATTCCTTAAAAAGCCAACTAGAAAAATAAATATTCTTAATAAAAAAAAATACGGGTATTACAATAGGTTTGTGCCTTAGTTGGGACATACATACAAGCCCAAAATCCAGTAATTTAATCAAAGTAGCACAAATATTCTTCATTCCGGTGGTCCCATTGTCCCAATTCAAGAGCAGAGGCACTACTAAATAGAAGCTTAGAGCTCTGGTGGATGGTGATCGGGAGGTTCAAGCGGGTGGACAGAGACTAGCTTGGGAGATCCCAGTCGAGGACTACCCTTCTGCTGTTAACATTGTTCTTGAGAGTCTCATAGAAATTGACTAGAGATTTTTGTCAAGCACCTTGTTTTGGGAGGAGAAAACTTTACTAAATATCGGGTCATTTCTTTCTTCCCAAAGATGATACAGGTACAATCGATGCTAGAGCCAACTTTATCATGATATTTTTAGTGGTATTTGCCTTCCAATGTAGAGAGTACCAGAGAATGAGTGCCATCCAATTTGCAGGGAGAATGTGAAAGCAACACTTTCACTACAAGAATTTTAGTTATTAGGGACCAAAAAAATCGTCCCTAGAAGTACTAAAATTGTCCCTATTACTTTTTAGGCACGGTTAATGTCACCGTCTCAATTAATTGCGTCCCAAAAAGGTTTTAGGGACGGATTAATTGGGACAGAATAAAAATCTAGTATTTGGGACGGATGTTTTTCTGTCCCAATTAAGTATTTGGGACGGTTGTTTTTCTATCCCAATTAAGTATTTGGGACAGACTTCTTTGTGTCCCTAATTTCATTTTATTATTATTATTATTATGGTGGTATGCCCTGCTAGTATTTCAGTAGTCCAAATTTCTTTTTGCCTGCCTGTTATATCTTATATATCCATTGCTCATTCATTAAAACTATAAAGAAGGTAAATGTAAAGTAAAAATTAATACAAAAAAGTTAAATTTAATAACCATTAATTAAAAAACAAAGTGATATCAATTATGGTCATATCGGTACCTAATAGCATAATATGTAAATATCAATAATATTGGTGGAATCATTCATCATTTGTTGGTGATGTGTACGGACCAAACGGGCCAAACATCGGTGGCTGCAGATTATTTAATAAGTTGCCAAAAGGTCCATAAGGAGGCTGCTGCTGCTGTGAGCTGCCAAGTGCAGGACAATATCCGCCGAATGGTGTGAACAAGAATTGAGGAGAAGACACTCTTTGATTCTCCAAGATACCTTTCACAGTTGCCTTCAATTCATTTATGGACTCCATCAATTCATCATATTTTCGTTCCGCTCTATTAGACTTCCTCCTTTCAGCCTCCAACTCTGCCTCCCACTCTATATTTGTCTTCCTTTTACAACTTGAGGATGCTGGAGCCGTCTTTCCATAACCGAAGCCACGAAAATATGTACCTTTTCCTATTCCAAGACCGTTCTCCAAAATCTGCTCATCCACTGGGACTAAACTACTAGCATCCACATAAACAGATGGATCTAATGATTGGGCCACCATTTTGTCTTGTATTTTGTAACGTTAATTTAGTAAATTAAATGAACAATTATCAGCCAAACACATCATACTACAATTATTAACAAAGTACTTTACTTTAAATTTTCACCACTCATCCACAACACATCATACTAATAATATTTCGTCAATTTCCATTTCTTCAGCCTCAACACAGATAAAAAACCAAGCCATACGGTGAAATGAAACATAAAACCAAACACAGATAGATAAATTGTAGAGAGAGAAGAATGGTTTTAGTGTGAAAATTAAAAGAGAAAGCCAGGAACAGATTGGGGCTTTTTAACTTTCTAGAATAGTCATTAATTGTCTTCAATTATTTGTGTGAAACAACTTAAAAATATTGTCTCCTCTAGTTCTCCATTCTCTTCACCAACATTGGAGATCAAAACAGATAAAATGAAAAGAGGGATTTGTTTAGCCTTAATTTAAAGTTGCTGTTAACTATTCCTAAACAAAGTTCCATAATTAGCATTCAATCCAAGAGGATTTTATTGCGTCTGGTCCCCTCTGGGGTTCCAAAACTCCACCTAGCATCACGACTAATTTTTTCACCATGCCTACTAGAAGAAACGTCACTACCAGAACCACGTTCTCCGACACATGACATTCTTTAATTTTGCTAATAAAAAATAAATGTATGTTTGCTTCTATTATTGCACGAAAACATCTTCTTAATTAGCAAATTTCTATTAATTGAGTATCATGGAGTACTTATGAAGTATATATATATAGCTGAAA